TCACATGTATGTATCTATGTTTAATCTTAATATCAACACTTAATTTTTACTAGTTTCTTTTTTTTTGTAACTTCTGCACTTTATATTTTATATTTTACATGTTTTTTTTTATGACTTCATGTATTCATTATAGTCAAGTGACTTACTATTATTATTATTGTTTTAACTTAGTTATAGTAATGTATCTCAAACTGCTTCAATCATATGTATTGACGTGTCTATAAACTGTATGTTTCTGAAGATTAAATTTATTATTATTATTATTTCGTTTCCCTTTATACCCATGTGTGATGGTACCCATACGAAGTGAGTCGTTTTATTCTGTTGCTGAAGGTAATGTAGTTCTTTTTTGATAAGGATGAGGATCGGATGTGACAATAATCTTGTAGCAATGCCTAAGGCTATCCCTTGGCTCACGCGTCCACTCCAAGCATTACGTGTGTCGTCTAATGGCGAATCCTCGTTATAGGCCCCATGACCTTGCCTTCAACCCTTATTCTGAAGGGGTTGGTTGCGGGGACCTATTGATTCTACATAACCAAGTGTTGAGTCTATCGGGTGATTAGCCCAATAAACCCACGGCCGGCATCGTGGAGGGAAAGGAGTTTTTCTTCCCGGGTGTAGTTTGTCTACAGATCCAGGTTTACAGCAGTTGCTTGGATAAATGTAGGCGCAACTCACCAGTTGACTGAAATATTGGATGGCCATATCTGTTCATTATTCGTTTTCCTTTCTCTTCACTAGAATCTTCAACATTGAAGATTCTAACCTTGTCCCAAAGCTCCAACACATTTGGTGGACGCGACGAATATGTCTCCGTAAGGTGAGTGATCCTTTGGTCTGAGAATCGTGTATCCTGAGTATACGCAATTAGCCGAGATTGACATACTTCATTTGTCCGTTCAAGATGTCTGTCTTATGGTGGCAAGTTGGCATGACTCTGAGATTCGAGAGTAGAGAGGGCATCATTCTTCCAAGGACCACAATAATCAGAACAACCATTTTGACAGATTGGTCTGGATAGACTTTGCGGAGCTCGAAGAGGAGAAGATCTCGATATTCTATCCGTTTTTCTTCTTCTTTTCACCCCAAGCTGAAAACTGAACGACGAATATCGTCTTGCTCTGATGATCGAGAAAAACAGGCTCATCAGCTTGTATTAGCCTGGAAATGAGAAATGAATATTTCCAATAAATTCAACACTTTCCATTTCTTCACCGGGCAGAATAGTATTATCATTATTATTACCCTGTATCGATCCCACACCAAATGAAAAAAACATCAGTACAGTTGAAACACGAACTGTGTAAAATATATAGCGGCCTGTCGAGTTACTGGGTCCTTGGAGAGTCCTTGCAGTCCTCGGTTATCGCGCTTCAAGGATTAATTTCTCCTCACAATGAAATATTAGCGACACGCGTACTTTACTTAACTCCTTCTCCGTGTATTGTGTACCGTGCAAATCAACGTTTTTTCATGTACTTCTTCCAGTTCGTGTATTATCTCGGTGAGCATTGTGTCTCGGTGGAGTGAAGAGGGCTTTTCCAGTTTGCAGAAAATAAAAGTATCTTGGGGGATTTGTAAAGTGTCTGGAGTGTAAATGAAATGGCTAGAGGTGAGGGAAAACTCTGTCTGTCTGGCAGATGTGGCACTTGAATCGGCGTGGACAGGGTGGTAGAAGAAAACTTGACCGCTGAAAAGATAGCATCAATATAGAGTGAGAGTATCAGTTTTATAATTAGTGAGATGCGAAAAACAAGAAGGAATTCCCCGTCGTCTTTTTGACATTCAGTGTAAACATTATTTTTTTCGAATTAACTTTTCCTGGGGTGATATTCGTTTTCTTTTGAAGTACAAAATTGAAGGAGTAAATTATAAGACGAAAAAAAATATAGCGATAGTGGGACCGAAGAAGAGATTCTCAACGAAATCAAGAAAATGAAGAAGACCCCATACAAGGTCAAACGATTATATTAAAGTGGGAGCGACGACATCTCCTCTTACGAAGGGTGGATGGGATGGGATGTACAGATAATCCAACCTCCGAATATCAAACTTGAATGAGGCTTCTTATGGCGGTCTGTTGCAGAATCAAGCTTCGACATCGACCGCCGACAAGATTCGTCCTATGCTTTTCGCTGCAGCTTTCATAGCGATGCTACTAGTTGAATAGTACTGCTGGCAGCAGGCAAGAAACTGAAAAGTATCACAATTGAATTGGAGGAAACGAACATCTACAGCCAATAATCCATTTTGAATACTTGGGTATCCATTTGGACCGAAACATGAAAATGAGAGCTCATGTTAGAAGAATATCAAAACAGAGCGGGGAAAGCCACAAGCAACATAAGCAAGATAATGCCCAACGTTGGGGGCCCCTCGAGTAAGTGGTAGAAGAATTTTCCGCTCAGTCGCCCAGTCAATCATGCTCTTTATGGCACAACAATCTGGAAAAGAGCCATGGGAAAAAAGATATATAGAAATATATTACTTAGTGTCCAAAGAAAAGCAGCCATAAAAATAATGTTCACATATAAAACAGTATCAACCAAAGCTCTACTGATAATTGCAAGAACCACCGCCCCCTAATACATCTGCTGGTGGAAGGAAGAACAATGGTACAAAACAACGGATCAAAAGGGTTAGCAAGGTCACATCTTATTGAAAAATGTCAACCGTCTTGGGAGATAGACGATTGACAAGAAGACTGATAACAGACATAGAACCATGGGTGAACAGAAAATGGGAAGAGGTGAATTATTTTCTCACACAAGTCCTAACGGGGCATAGGTGTTTTTAGGCGTATCTGTTTAGGTTTAAAGTGAGTGACACAGAAGAGTGCAAGTATTGCGGAATGATAGACACGGTAAAACACATAATCTTTAAATGCATACGTTGGAAAGATGTTTCCACTAACTGAGTCCAAACCAGACCCCAAACACAACGCATTCATAATTCAACACCAGACACCGCTGTTCGAACACGTCATAGGCCTCATCAGTGGCAAATGCATTCTACCATTCTCACTCCTCGGGGTTGAGTATTGAGTGTCCTAAGGTAAAATATTCCCCACACCGTTAGCATGTAGGATAGAGGATAAAATATCATCCGTCCAACCCCACTCACTTCCGAGTGGTCCTCAACCTGCTGCTTGGCATTTCAGCAAGATTGAAATCTGACCTCTCGTGGTCGGAAGTCAGCCTCTGGTGCTTTTACTCCCTTGTATCTGATTATTTGTTAAACCTCTACTGTGTGCGGTGTGCCCATGGTGGTGCCCTGTACCTAGCTGGAGACGAGTGCTGTGTGTCGCAGACTCATATGTGTGTTTTATAACTGGATTGTGTGTGTCATTCTAACCGTAGCCGTCGGACAACGACTCTCGTAGATGATATCTGATTCTGTTTTGTCGGCTACATGTGCTTGTCTCTCTCGCGGAATCTGGGGTCGTCCCTGTTTAGTGCATCCTGAAAATCACGAAGCGTTGCGTTGAGGTATGTCAGGTTTTGCTCGAAGATGTTTTCGGGGTGGTTTCTAATGAATGCGTCCACGTACTTCGTGCTTTCGGTGAAAATATCTCAAATTTCTCTCGATGAGCACACTCCACCACTTGAGAGGATTTTCATCCACATTTACTCTTTTGTTACAGCGGTAAAAAAGTAATTCCTTTTTGAGTGCAGCTTCAGTGCTACCATCTCCTGGTATTTCTCATCTTCACTTGCCGAATCCAATATCATAGCCGACAGATTGTTTTTAATTAACACGCTTTTATTAGCTTCACCTGTATGTATGTATATTTGTTTGTTTGTTCGTAACTCTCCTTTTCATCTCATATTTATTCCCGTTCGAAAGCTCGGGATCTGTATTTGACAGAATTATCGACATTATTGCTTGATATTTTCGCGGACAGATGGCGCCGTACGTAACCTCCTTGATATAATTCGAATTCACTTTACATGTATTTCTTCGTTTGAATTTTTTTTCATCAAGACGTGCGCCTGCTGCCTTATTACAAACCTTCCTTCCTCTTGAAGATGATCACTTGGTGATCAAAACACGTGTCGAGGTGTTAAAAATAACGGTTTGGTGTTGGGAAAAACTCCAGTAATATTAATTACTACACCAAAGGTCCCAAACAGTGCATCACAAGTAAATAACTGAGAGATTTAATATATGAAGTTACTCAACTTTAGAGTCGCAGGGCAGGGCTACAAAATCTGTTAAAAGAAGTCCAGATGTTTTCGACAAATGACAGCACACTGGCCGCGGTAGGCAAACTTCCAGAAGCTCCAGTACTGTAGTGGAAAAGGTAGTGAAACTCTCTGGTTTCAGCTCTTTCAACTTTAGTCAATAGCACGACTAGCGATTTTAAAGAGTTATCAGGTTTTCGATTTTCAATTATAACAACAAAAAACCTATGTAAGAAAAATATATGTAAGAGACAATATACTATCCTTGGACATGAATGTACTTATCTTCGAAGTCACGGAGGTTTTTCAACACTGAGGCAGCGGGCATGAAAATAGCGATGGCCGAGCGATGGCGACTGCGGGGCGGCGCGGAGTGTGGCGATGAGGAGAAGTATCTCGCACGGGCGCGAAACGTCACAGCTCGTTTCAGCTGTCACCTATACTGTCGATGTTGTATGCATTGCCACCGTTTGTAATAACCACTGATAAACAACTGATTGATACAAATGAATATTAATGAGTTTATTAAAATAGGTTTGGTGTGATTTGAGTCCATTCAATTATGAATTTGTAGGAGTAATTTTTTCTATTGCGGATATTCATGGACCCGATATACTCAGTAATATGTAAAATAAATTATTTTCGCTAACAAAAATCGCAGTGGATTGTGAAAACAGCTACCAAGACTTTGTTTTTGTTTTACCAATTGACTTAGTTCTAATATTTCTGATAGATGTCGTATTTGAATGAGAAGCACAGAACTATAACTTACAGTTATAAGTTATAGTTCTGTGATGTGTAATTCTTCTTCTTTTTTTCTTCCTGAATTTAACCTGCTTTTCATCCCTACACTTGGACATTGCTTTTTGTCACACTTTTGGATGATTAATGAAACATCAAATTTTTACATTCAATGAACCGATGAGTAAATAATGCCATTGGCTAATTACGCAAAAATTGGAATTGGCTGGTAATTTTATCTGGTAGCATATTCCATGTGAAGTATTTATAACCCAATTTCTATTACAGGGCTGTTGTTACTGTTTGTGGAATATTTTCGTTTTATCTGGCCAAAACTAGCGTAGATAAAAGGCGATATGATAATATGAAAATAAGAGAGCACATTAGACAATCAAACAGTGGAGAGTACGAGCGTAGTTACCGAAAATTCTCTACCTCATCTTAGTATTTATCTTCAAATAGTTCAAATATCTCAGCATGGCTCAGAAAGAAGCACAAAACATGCAGCTCATTCAAGAGCTGGAAATTGAAATGATGGCTGACATGTACAATCGTCTAACGTCAGCGTGCCATAAAAAATGCATTCCTCCTGTTTACGGTGACTCTGAAATTGCAAAAGGTGAAGCAGTCTGCATCGATAGGTGTGTCGCCAAATTCCTCGATATTCACGAAAGAATTGGCAAAAAGTTGGGTCAGTTGTCCATGCAAGATGAAGCATTATTGAAAAAATAGTTATTAACTATGAACTAGTCGTTTTTAGTAGTTTTGTTAATAGAACCTCATTAAACCATGTTCAGTTTTGAGTATTTATTTGTTCCGAAATCAACAGAAACCCTTGATGGATACAGAAATAAAATTTGGACAGAAAGAGTGGAAAATTCTTTTACCCAGTGCAAAAAAAATATAATCATCAACACATTTGGAATATTTCCTCAGTTCTCGCAGTTTTAATTGATTCTTTCAACTAATCAACTATACATTTATATAATCCCAATAATTTATTAGATTTCAATTCTCTTAATGAATTGAAAATTTGCTGTTCGAATTTAAAATAAAAATATCAAGTAACATACTTTTTAACGAAACATCATATTCATAATAATTCTACAAGACAGTAAATTATTATGTATGAAAAATGTCAAATCTGATTTTGGAAAAAAAATCAATTCATCAAGATGGAATTGCCGTCTACAATTCTGTTCCACTAGAAAAAAATGAATCGATATTGAAATTTGAAAATATGTTGGAAACGGATCTGCTGAAATAAAAATTTATTCATTTTTGTTTGAATTTATGTGACAAAAATACTTCTTGGATAGTTCACCATTTTAGAATATCCAGTTGTTCAAGTTATTTTAGGTTATTGTTCAACTACTTTCATAATCCCCATATATACGAGGTCTGTTCAAAAAATAAGGTTAATGTTTAAATTAACACAAAATCTGGTGCAAAGAATTTGCACCAGATTTTGTGTAAACAGGTGCACAAAAACACTTGAAATGTTGACCGTGACATACAATGATTGTACTCTGACTTAGAAAAACATTTACAAGCGGGACAGGCACAAAGTGTATGCTCTGCTGTTTCATCATTTTCCAAACAGAGGCGACACACACACTGTCTTCCGACGGTCCGAGTCTCTGCATATGATGATTCAAATGACAGTGACCTGTAAGGCCTGTTAGACATCGTAGTTCATCCCCACTGTAGTTCAACAACCGTTTGGTATCAAGCTTCGAAGGGTAAATAAACGCTTTGGAGTGAGCCAGAAGTCCATAAATCTTCTTGCCATCCAGGTGTTCAATCTTTGTTTGGCAAAGCCTAAAGCGATGCCAATGACAGGTTCTGATCCGATGGAAGCTGCTTGCGGCACCCTCCTTTGCAAGGGAGTCAGCAGCCTCATTGCCTTTCAGGACAATATGGCCAGGAATCCAGGCCAGAGGCAATCTGCTGAGTCTTCCCATCGAGGAGAGTAGTTTTTTGCAATTTGCTTGACTATCCGAGGAATTTTGACCAGAAAAAGCATCGCTTAGGAATTGTTGAATGACATCAACAGTAATCCAGATTTACTTGAAAGAGTCATAACTAGTGACGAATCATGGGTATATGGTTATGACATGGAAACCAAAGTCCGATCGTTCCAATGGAATATTCCAGGAGAGCCAAGACCAAAGAAAGCACCCCAAATTTGATCAAATGTCAAAGGTTTTACTCACTGTTATCTTCGGTTACCCTGGCATAGTGCATCAGGAGGTATTGCCACATGATCATACGGTCGATAAGGACTATCAACTTAAAGTTATGCGTCGCTTGCGAGAAGCAATATTAAGAGAACGTCCGGTATTGTGGAAAAACAATTCATAGCTTCCGTACCTGCTCACTTGTCACTGCTTGTTCGTTATTTTTTGGCCAAAAACAACACCTTATTCATAACTCAACCACCGTATTCACCAGATTTGGCCCCTACGGCTTTTCCCAAGATTGAAGAGACCTATGAAAGGCGGAAGTTTTGAGACGATTGAGGTGATAAAAACCAAATCGCTGAGAGCTTGAGGACATGCCATAAAGTGCATATCAAAACTACTTCGAAGATTGAAAAAAACGCTGGCACAAGTGTATTACATCTAAGGGGGAGTACTTTGAAGGGGACAAAATAGACCTCGTAAATGAAAGTGGCAAAATTGTACTTACATGGAACACTGTCATCCTAAATCATCACATTTAATTTATCTCAATCGACACTTAGAATTCATCTGTCAAATTTGATCACAAAACTATCGATTATTGGATTTCAAATATTGATTGATGATTTTAAATGTTTTTAAATTATTGTACCGACGTGAGTTGACGCTTCTCTTCTAAAAATCCATTAAACTAAGAGGCAATAGCTTCAATTTATATTCACAGTATTTCAACAAATAATATTTAACTTTAAGGCGTTTATTTCTCATAATATACAAAAAACTTAAAAATAAATAACAAAGCTATGTAAAAACATCTTGTATCAATCCAAAGTGAATACACTTTTCTTGGACTTTTTCACTTCTTGGCCAGAACTAAAGTGATCTGCATTTCTTTTCCTCATTTCATCCAAGTCCTCTCCAGTCGAAGCCCACTCGAGAACCAGCCTCCGACCAAACAAATGTGTACTTTGTGACAAGGCATCAAAAGCAGTCTATAAAAAAATACAATTAGTTTTTCTATAAAAACCCTAGGACAGCTACTAAAGGCACAGAAAAAATCAAAAAAGAGTAAGCGCTTCTTTCAAGTGGTATGACTAAAGGCCATTTCCAAATAAATAAATTTTGAATGATGACTGATTATTATCGAAAAAAGTGAAATTATAAACTTGTTAAACATTTCAATATAATATCTTGAAGAAAAAACTTATAATGATCATTATCATATAAAAGTTTCTTTGAAGAAAATGTTGAACCTACCTTAGCATCTGATTCAGTGGAATAATCAACAAATGCAAACCCACGATGAGAATTTGAGCCGACCACCATTTTCTTGGGCAATCTCAAAGCCTTGATTTCTCCGAAAGTACTGGAATTCAAAAGTAATTTTCATTGATATATCAAAATATTCAATTTGGAAATTTTGTGAAATTATATTATATATATAATATTCAAAAAATTCCATTATAACATAAAAACACATACATAAAAATACTTAATAATTATTTTGCTTTAATTGAATAACAAAACTGCATTCCAAACAGGTTTACACCCAATTATATGTATATAGGCAATGTCATGGTACATAAAATATATGATTTTAAAATACACAGTAAATAAACACCTAAAATTACGGACACAAAAAACATTAATGAAAACAGTTATAAATGGCGCATTTTTTTGTAAACGACTGTCTCATTTCTGATTCATTACAGCAAAAAAAATCAAGACTTTGATGACTTACGACTAGATCATTCACTTGCCTAAGGCAGCTATTGAGTGGAGATTCAGATCGGGTGTCTGCATAGAAAACCCTATTGCGATTTCTTAGACTAGCACTAGGAACATGAAGACTGATCACACTGAGGAGTTCAGGTAGATTTATTATTTATATGTTGAATATAAATAGTACATCATTCAAGCTTCGACGATCTGACAGGTTTGGCATGCCGAAATGTTCTAGTTGAATCCTATAGAAGATCATAGAGGGAGACTCTTTATTCTTTTTGAAGTAGGTGTACGTAAGAAATTTCTTCTGTATTTTTTCTATCATCTCTGAATGAAATGCTGTTTGCGGATTCTAAATTGTTGAAGCATATCCGAGCTTTGATCTGACAGAGGCATTGAATAGAAGAATTCTTAGTTCCCATTTGAAATCACTGGCGTTTCTCAACACAAGACCAAGCTTTCAGTTTGCATCACGTACAATATATTCTATGTGATTTCTGAAGTTGAAGTTACTATTAAATATGACTCCTAGATCTTTGATTTGAGCATGTTTTTCCAGTTTGGTGCCATTTATTGAATATTCCGTTGGAGTAATGACATTTTTCCGTGAAAAAGACATAACTTTGCATTTACCCTCATTCAGCATCAAGTTGATCCCTAAGGAACGCCAGAGGTTGGTCTGAATAGTGTCGACCTTTTTCTATTGAAAGCAACAAATTGATCTCTATCTGATAGATATGACTTCACTAATGTTATCATTGATTGATTCATTGAGAAATTCCTTAATAAGGCGATGAGAAGTCCATGGTTCACTTTGTCGAATGCTTTCGCTAGGTTTGTGTAGATTACATCAACTTGTTTTCCAGTATTTATCGAGAGTGCTAAGTTATTGCTGAACACCATGAGATTTGTTACAGTCGATTTTTTATTAACAAAACCTTGCTGTTCTCTGCAGATAGTGTCTTCATCGTGGGCATATAGTCTGTTATATAAGACTATCTCTAAGATTTTTGTTAATGAGGGGAATATTGTTATCGGCCTATAGTTTGTTATGAGATTTTGATTGCCAGATTTATGGATAGAAATTATACGTCCCTTTTTGAGTTGTTTTGGAAACACACTACTTTCAACAATGCTATTGAAGATTAGAGGTCTTACTAGATTTTCCATATCTCCTTTGTAAAAGTAAGATGGAATACTGTCAACACCAGTTGATTTAATGGGTTTTAGAGATCTAACTGCTTTACAGATATCTTGTTCGGAAATTGATGATATACATAATTCGCGCAGGTTGATCTCTAGAGAGAGATTGGTACCACCTGAAGAATCATTACTAGAAAATATCTTCATAGGCTTCCAGTATTTTGAGACTAGGTTGATATTATCAGGAATTCTAAATAAAAACAAAAAATCATATTCCTCCTTCATAAACGGAATTTTGTTGAATTTCAACTTCGAACTCAGGATTTAGTTAAACTGTGACTTTGAACTCGGAGTTTAGTGATTTTCTTTATAAAATCATTACTTGTAGTCTATTTACGCCTGTGTAGAGTCATTTCAGATCTGAATAACGAAAATTTTGACAAAACCCTCCTACCGACTGAAGCCATCGGCGTAGAATGAATCCAAAACAAGCACTTTTCAGAGTGAAAATCACACTACGACATGTGTACAATAGCTTCTTCAATCCGGTCTTGGGAATGCTGTTTAATAGAGGAACGCGTGTCACAGTTTTTTAAACTTTTCATGGTCAAAATCACACTGAAACATGTGTACAATAGCTGCTTCAAGGTAGATCTGAAGCTATTGTACAGAGAAACACGTGTTGCAATTTTGAAAACCTTTCAAGGGGAAAGTTACACTGCGACATGTCTAAATAGCTGCTTTGAGCTGGACTTGAGAAGCTATTGCATAACCTATCAAAGTGAAAATTTCACTGAGACATGTGTACAATATACAATATACAATACTTTGAGCTGGGCTTGAAGCTGTTGTACAGAGAAACAAGTGCTGATACGTGTACGTGATGCGTGTACCTTCCATAGTGAAAATAACACTGCAACATGTGTACAACAGCGTTCTCAAGCCGGACTTGAGAAAGTTATTGTATAGAGAAACACATGGTGCTGTGTTGTAAACCTTTCATGATAAAAATCATGCTGCAAGGCGTTTACAACCTTGTGTACAATGGCTGCTCTGAACTGGACTTGAGGAAGGCAATGTATAGAGAAACACGTGTCAATTTTGTAAACCTTCCATAGTGAAAATCGCACAATATGGATACTTGACTGGCTCTCAGAAGCAAATGATCAACTGGTTCGAATGTTTTTCAAAGACCACATCTATAATACATATCAGATCCTCTTCTGGGATTTAATCGTAAATGACACTGCTTCTTACTTTTATTTCTGTTATTAACGATATCCGGTGTTAAGATAAAAACTGAAACTGAAACCTCACCTGAAGAGTTCTTCAATTTCTTTTCTCGTTGCTTGGAAGGGAATATTTCTAACTAGAATCTTGGTGCCCGTTTGTTTTGTTTTCTTGCTAGGTTTCTTGATGGTCTGTACTTCATTTCTGTAATCATAAAATGATGAATAACAATGAGATATACATCAACAACTGAGATCTTACTTCAGGGTTCTTTCTGATCTCTTCAACTCCAAGGATTTTCCATCCAGAACGCTCTGTTGCAGGGTCTTCAGGGCTTTTTCGGCACTGGCTTTGAGCATGAACCTGACGAAACCATAACCCATCGATAACTTGTTGGTCGGATCATTTTTGTCTTTCTTTACGGCCACGTTGGCATAATGGATTTTTCCACATCCCTCAAAATGCTGAAATGTAACGAATTCTTTCAAGATGAAGTAAATATAAAAAGTTTTCCTGTTCCTACCTTTCTCAGACCTTCATCTGTGGTTTTGAAATTCAGATTTTTAACAAATAGAGTCGTTTCAGGCTCCGGTTCTTCTTCGTCTTCTTCTTCCTCATTGACTGTTTCAATTTTTTCACTTTGTTGACTATTTTTCCCCTCATTATTTGTTTCTGCCTTTTCCTTGGGTTTGATTTGTGCAGTTTCCTTGAGGGGATTTTCTGGAGCCCACTCCAAATATAAAGGTACGTTTTGGAATTTTGAATAAGCTAGCCTTGTGAATGCTTTCCTTGCTTCTGACGGTTCCAAAAATTCCACAATGGCTGAAATTAATGAAAAATTGAGTTCCTACCGAACAACTTCTGTGAGATCTTTGACATCATTTGCATAAACATTCTATAAATGGTTTTTTCGAACACTGAAATATATTGTTGATCCATAATTCACAAATTTTCTATATTAGGATAATAATGATACTAATCAATCACTGTACTTTATTGTCGAAGAAAAAATATATCTTATTTACTTTTATTGACTTTCATTGCCCAGCAGTAAAACCATCTACAAAAGCAATTTGTTTAAAGTAGGTACATTGATTAATTATAATATTTATGTGAAAAAAAATACAGGAAATTATTTCTAACATACTTATATTCTATGATTTTACAAGTAAGAATGTCACAATATTTGCATATTTCATTAAAATTGGTGCACATGAAATTATTTGAAGCTCTAAATAACAAATTGGTGAGGGACAGACCCTTCTAGCTGTCTGTCGAGGAACGAAGATATTTATAAGGGAAAATAATATGGAGCAGTCAATTTGAACGTTCAAAAGTTTTTATTTTGGAAGCCTGTTTTTAACATTTTTCCAATGTCAAAAAATAAACCTTGAACAAAAGCTGGATGCAATGTGAACCTCTTGGTGGATATGTTAATTCTGTTAATTCAATAGAAAGAATATGTTGATTGTAAATAAGATTCAAATCAAAGAGCTATATTCTAATTTTGAGCAAACAGAGTAATTATACACAGAAAAAGGTGCAAAAGTTTTATCAAAATTCCTACAGTTCCTAACAATAAAGCCATTCGCGAGGTAAGCTGAGAATTTTTGTTGTTGAAATGATTAAAAGTTAACGTAAAATAAACATAAATAATTCCCCAAATCGTGCATAATATCATTTTTTCCTAAATTATCATAATTATTGCATTATTAGTAGTTTATTGATGCATTCTTTCTACTGAAAATAATAATCTTTAATTTTTTGACATTAAGTGGCAAGGAAATTTGTTCACAACAATTGTTTAAGAGGTTAAGTTAATTTTGTAATTAAATACAATCATTCACAAATTCAACAGCTGTCTGCAAACATAACCCTATTGCAATTCAGTGATTTGCAAAGATCACTGATGAAAATCTTAAATAGTAATGGACCCAAATTTGAACCTTGTGGTACTCCACTAGTACCTATATACATATCCAGTTGATTCAGATAAGATTTTGAAGGTTTTATGTATTTCTAATCAAGACCTGAGCTCATAAGTTTACAAAGAGAAGATTACGATATATTTCGCAATTGTTTGTTATTCCAAACGGATAATGATTTTTATTTGGTAGCAGGTAACAGACTGATAAAAACTTAGTTCGTTGTTTAAAGTTATTCTTACGGGCTTCTACAGGAATTCAATGTATAAACTGTACTTGTTTTATGCTTTTTAAAGTTTAATTTAATATATTCAAATAATTCAAGTCTCGGAATAGACCAGAAATATTATTATTCTGCATCTGTTCCCTTATTATTACGAGCTTAATCAATCTCATTGAGCTTGTTTGGGCTCAAGAAAAGGGTTTAATTGCAAGAAGAAACACGACACTTGAAAATATGTCAAAATACTCTTTGAGGAGTCCTTAAAAAATGTTGTTTCCAAAACATGGCGAAAATGTATTTATAGGGTGGGCCCGGTGAAGTAGTATAAACCCTCCTATCCCAGCGTGGCAAATCATAATAAAATGACAAAATTTTGTTTGAACAATCTTTTAGCGGTTTGCATTCATAATGAGCATTTATTATTTTTTCCATTAGGAAACAGAGTAGTCTTCATTTTATTGTTTCATGGTGGTCTTTATTAAAAAAGAAATATTATTATTCATCATAAAAATTGTCAGTCTTTGCAATCATTCTACTATCAAAAAAGTGTACACTTACGTGAACTGTGCAAAAAATGAGGTGAACATAAAAATTTCACGGACTATGTACATTTGATTAGCGATTTTATGTTATTAATTTATGTTCTGACACAATAACTTTGCTGCTCACCTGTAATACCGCTCGGAGGAATAATAACTCTTCCAACTTCTCCGTGTTTCTCAAACAACTCTCTGATAACTCGAGCTTCAGTTCTTGATGGTAAATTTTTAACCAAGATGATAGTTTTTGATCTCTTCGTCGATGGCTGAAAAAATTCCCACTTAACATATATATTTCCACAAATAAATTTCCAGCTTACAGTCATAAAAGCATCCAAAATAACTCCCTCATCTTCCAGGTACTTCCTAGTCTGAGCGACAATCTGTGTTTCCCCTAGAGCTAACCGCACCGCAGCGCTCCCTTTTCCATCAGGGCCTATAACAGCTTCTTTGGTGGTTCCATATGTGTCAGCTATAACTTCCGCTACTGCATCGTGACCCAAAAATAGGGAATTCCAATTGTGTCCTGATCCAGCTTGAGCTTTTTCTTTGGCAGACTTTTTCTTCTTGTAATTAGACGACTCTGAAAATGTTAAAAAAAATGAAATTGGGGTTTAAAACAACATATTTTAGAGTGATAGAAACATATATTCTTTAACGTACCCTCCAACAGCTCCTCTTCAGTAGTATCTTTACTTTTTCCAGGCAGTAAATGTACCATTCTTCCTTGTAAAATTGATCCATCAAGTTCACCATAAGCTTTCACAGCATGCTCAGGCATTAAAAATGTGACAGTTCCAAAACCTTTTATTACTTTAGTATTTCGATCAACAGGTAGATTCACCTCCGTCAGTGGACCTGTTCAGAAAAAAAATAATAAAGTGTTTCTATGGATTACAGAATAATTGAACTAATGTTTACTCAGGGTGGCATGCCTCTGCACAGTTCCAACTACTGCTAAAATACATAGACTATTCAAAGAATATGTAGACTATTCCAATTTCGCAGGCTACGTACATTTGATTAGCATTTTTTTATTGTTTTATGTTGGTGCCCTTGTCTTGAACATATGTTCACTGTCTAACATGGTTTTTGCTCAACAATAATGCACCTGCCGACTCGTCATTTCTTGTTGGTAATGTTTTGGCCAGAAACAACACCATAATCATGTCTCAGCCACCATATTCACCAGATTTGGTGATACTTGTCAAATTCATATTGGTCAAATAGGTACGATAAAAATAGTTATTGATTCTACTCACTTATGAAGCTTCTGTTTTTGATCAATGCTTTATTGAAGAGTTTTTCTGTCTTGAATCCTGCATAAGCTATCCCATGAATGTTCCTTGGTATTCTGATACTGTAACATTTGGCAGGTTTGAAGAAATCTTTAATATCTTTTTTCTTAATGTTATAAGGCAGATCTCGTAACTGAAAAGAAGAAACAAAATAGTATTTCTTGACCTTTGAAATGAGTTTGAAAAGCTTACCTTTACAGTGAAAAGTTTGATTTTTTCCTTAACTTTCTTTTCCATTTTTTGTCTAGGTTTCCTCTCCAAGTTGCCCTTCATCAACTGCTTCATATATTCCATATCTGAAATACGGTTGTTAGCTAGTTTATCAGTTTCAGCATTATTATCATTGTCTTCATCATCTTCATCTTGGCTTTCTTCATTACTATTTCCATCTGAATTTTCATTCGACTTTTCTTTTTTTTCCATTTGTTTCTGTTCAATTTTGTTAAGCTTCTGAATTTCATTTGGAGCATGAACTTGAAGGAATTCTTCAAACATTGGATCATCTTTATACTGCAAAATCAAAAAGTAATTTGAAATTCCATTACCCATTGATCATTTTTTAAATCCAGAAATGAATTACCTTTTCAAGTAACTCTGCTGATTCATCAATTTTCACTTTACTTTTTCTGGCTTCTTTTGGTACGACAGGATCAGATTTCTGGTCAATTTTATTAACTTTCTTGTAAGCTGTACTATCAGGAGCATACTTACTCCATGATTTTGGTTTCTTCTCATCACCTATATAAACAAACTCGTTATTATTATAAACTTCAGACAATATTGCGAAAAAGCATTACTTTTTAAATGAAATTTTCAGTTGAAAAGGTAAACAATAGCAGTTAAAAAGAAATTATAGAAAGATGATCTATTTTCAATGAAACACAACAGGGAAGAATAAAAAATTTTACGAATGAAATCATTTGAACGACTATCAAAAATCAACTATGGCAGATGACACTCAACTACCAAAACTATTCTTGCTTTTGTAAGCTTCAACGAAAAGTTTAGAATAATCACTTTGGCGTCAGAATATCGTAATAACAGCAATGACACATCGTTGGGTCCCAACTTCGATATAAATCTGAATGGGATAGTTCTCAAAATCATAGCTCAACAAAAAAAATGGATAGAGCTTTAAAATTTGAAAAAGACGTATCACAATTTGTGAAACAATTATTATGTACTGAAGTTATTAGATATGAACCAATTTTATCCCATAGGTAATATAAAATCATTCTTGTGTGAAACCATAAAAAATGTTAATACTTTTTTGTTAACAAGACTAGGTACAGACCCAATGTTGCACAATTTTCCACTCTTATTCTGCTGGTTTTGATAAATGTATTGTCCAGGTATTTGATCGCTTCTTCAGCCTCATTTTCATTTTGATAACCAATAAATGCAAAATTTCGAAATTTTCCATCTTTAGTATATTTGAGCTGTATGTCTGTTACAGTTCCCTTCTGCCCAAAGAGATCTTTTAGAGTTTGTTCATTTATCTGAAAAAAAAATTATGACATTCCCATCTTATAGAAGAGTGGAGTTACTTACATTTTTTGGTAAATTTTTCACTATTAAACGGGACATGATAAACAATTATCTGATATTTCGTGGTAAACAAAAATAAATGCAATGTGAGTCGAGAAAATTTATTGGGTTAAAATATGACAGAAAACAAAATAACCAAAACACAACACAAGCTACAGAACACAGACACAGAATGATTACTTAGTATTCTGTGACACAGATCTATGCCAGAACCACAGAACTATAACCTATAGTTCTGTGGCCAGAACAGTGGCTTCATTTCTTCTTATTCTTCTGTAATGCGCTCAAAGGTTCTGGTTCTACAGCCACTATGACGATAATACGATGAACTATTGAATTCAGCTCCTACAGAATAATTCACATAAAGCAATTTTTATTGAAATCAGTAGAGTTATACTCGTAAATATTCCTGAAAATATGGAAGATATTTCAAAGGCAGGTGGAAAATAATCATTTTTATCATCAGTTAAATACTTTCGATGCTTCATTTCTTTCACTATATTGTCATTAAAAACAACACGAATATAAATTTCCAATCACAATGAAATATTTATCATCATGTATTTTTCCTTCACATTTTTTATTAATTAAACAAAATAATAAGCTACATAATGACGCCAATTGTCATTCTCACAATAACGTGAAAGTCTCTCAGTATTTTGACGTTTGGATTACCAGTTCTCAGGAAACCATGTTCCATATCTGACCAGTTTTTCACTAGTGCCATAATATTGATGATTTCAGAACTATTGAACCACATTTCCAGTAACATTTGGTACATTCCACTGTATTTTTCAGGGTCATATTTCCATTGTGTTTTTCGTTTGTTACTTCGATATTGACATCCCAAACTTTCGTCATTATTACTGGTCGTTACATCACTTTGACATACATCCCACTATGGATCATACAAAGTTTTGGATATGACGCCATTGCACTAAAGAACTTACTTGTAACTACATCATCAGTATTATGGATTGCATTCTTGGTAATCGTTTATAATACGTACCTAATTGAACATCATGAAATGCACAGTGAATCATTTCAGTCATATAAGCAATTTTTTCATCGACGATTCATTCAGGAATGCTATAACAAAGAATTTCGATTTTGTTTTATAAAAAAAATAACAGTAATAATTATTTTCCTCCTACCAGTTAGATGATAAATGAAAAAGTTCATATCAAGAAATTGAATACATGTTAATTAAAATAGTCCAAATAATCTACAGAAAATGAAATATATAAATTACCATTATTAAAAACAAACTAAATAAATTACATATATTTGTTTGGGAAACTCCGTTTCCCAAACAAATCGTATGAACTAATAATTGAAAAAAACTAGAATAAAATAGTTTAAAAAATACAAAACTCCGTTGCAAATAAATCATATCAAGATCCCAAAATTTTTACAGTATGCAACACGTAAAACTTCGTGACGTCGAATATGAGTGAGATGTAAGATAATGCCAGTCTACAAGACCACTGGATGTTTACTTCTATACAGTGCCAGTGGTTAGGAAATAAGGAAGAAGTTTTCTTTAAAGGGTTATGTTATGTTTTCCGCTGTTTGTTATGGTCTCCGAATTTTGAAGAAGCTAGGATAATAGTTATTATTATAAATGTCAATAACTATATTGAAAACGTCTACCTCCTGAAAGTGAGAAACAGCCATGTTTTCCATCTGCAAACAAAGTCATCCTGCTACAGGGATCGAACATGCAATATCATGTTACTTCTTCAACAAAGTTGAAAAATGTTTAATAACATCTGGGGCTAATATTTTGAAGGTATTCAGACTAATTCCTGATGTGGATCATAAATCAAGAGCAGAGCGATACTCTGGTAAGTTTGTTTTGAATAATGTATACATCCAAAACAACTCATTTTCATCGAACTGACTGAGTAATATTTTGGAACTCAAAGCTCGGCAAGTAATATTATTACTGTTTTTCATCATAGCAACATTTTATTTTTTTTAAGAATTCTATCCACCCAAATCCAAACTGGAATGTGTGGCCCAATATACACTCTTTGGAAACATTATGTCCATACAGAGTGTAAGTTTGACTAACTCACAGAGAGATGCCATACTTCTTGCTTTCGCTGATGCAAAGTTATCAGTTGTCGAATATGACCCAGAGAATCATGATCTTAGGACACTCAGTCTGCATTATTTTGAAGAAGATGACATGAAGGTAATACTTATTTTCATCAGAATCATGATTCAGCAGCTCATGATAAATATTTGTTTCAATGGTTTTTGTTAGCTTCTGAAAAAATATTAGACTTCACAGACCACAAATCTGAAATCAAAACTTGACGCTTTGGTTTATGTTTGAAGACTATATGGACTACTTCAGTAACTCAGATTATAATATGTACCTTGTAACCTAGCAAGTCTTAGTAAGTTTTTTTCAAAAACTAGTGCAAGCCATTGAAGCGAATATTTACTCACAATTTGTCTGATGTTTCTGGACATTGGACAATTTGTTAGATAATGGCTGTAAAAGCCTGCTCACCATGAAAATTTGCTCTGTTCCATAATTACTGAAAACTATTCCAGGATGGATGGACACATCACCATCATGTTCCGATGGTTAGGACTGACCCTGAAAATCGGTGTGCTGTGATGACTGTATTTGGTCGTAAGCTGGTAGTATTGCCATTTCGCCGAGAAAGCTCCATCGACGATAATGATGGTGATATAAAACCTATGTCGGGTAGTTCAGGCATAACCAAAGCACCAATATTAGCGTCATATATGATTTTGTTGAAGGACTTCATCGACAAAATTGATAACATAATTGACATACAGTTTTTGCATGGTTATTATGAACCGACCCTACTCATTTTGTATGAACCATTGAAAACTTTTTCGGGGTGAGTTATTTCTTTGTTGCAGTATCTGCTTCATAATCCACTGAAATTGACTTTTTTAGCCGTGTTGCTGTGCGAACTGACACCTGCGCCATGGCTGCAATCTCTTTGAATTTGCAGCAGCGAGTTCATCCGGTCATTTGGAGTGTTGGCAACTTACCGTTTGACTGTGTGCGAGCAGTCCCGATAAAGAAACCCATTGGTGGAACTTTAATCATGTCGATCAATGCTCTCATTTATCTTAATCAGAGCATTCCTCCATATGGAGTATCCCTGAACAGTATTGCAGAAGCTTCATCCAATTTTCCTTTGAGTAAGTATCATGAGTAATGAAATTTTGTTTCAGAATCACATTTATACAGAGTATGTTCTGAATTAACGATGGTTTCAGACACTTGAAAGCATGTTGTTACATGTAAACTTCGTCAAACTTGCATACTGCGTTTCACAATTTTTTGATGCAATATTTAAACCAGAATTTTCAGAAGAATTAATAAAAATTATTTATTCACCATGAAATTCTCACGAAAATTATGAAACGTACAGAAAACATTTGAGGTGATAAGATAGGAAACCCATAAATGAAAAGGTTACTTCAGCAATTTGTGAGGTAATGTCGTTAGCTAGCTAGCTAGCTCAGGGTAGTATTTTGGGCCCTCTATTGTTTTTAATGTATATTAATGTTTTGGAAAAAAATGTTGAATGTGACTACATTCATATATTCGCAGATGATACTCTGATATCAGTAAGTGATGGAAATTTCGATTGAGCAGTGATCAAAATAAATTATGTGCTTAAAAATATGGATAAATATTTGAAAGTGAATAAATTGAAGTTGAATGTAAGTAAAAGTAAGGCGATGATAATTACTACACCTTATAAATATAAACAAATAAATAGTAGTAACATTAACATAGAAATAAACAATGAAAAAATTGAAATTGTAAAGGAATTCAAATGCCTGGGATTTATGTTGGATAATCATTTATTATTTAGTAGCCACTTTGAATATATAAAAAAAAATCTTGAAAAAACTGTATTTCTTTTCTAGAGTGTCCCAAAACTTGAGTCTGAATTCCAGAATAACTGTGTATAAGACTATCATTCAATCTCATTTTGAATATTGCCCTACATTACTATATTGCTTTGATCTGAATAAAATATCCCAATTACAAAAGCAAAATCGAGCAATGAGAATAGTATTGCGATGTAGTAGGTCTACTCCTATATCATTGATGCTGGAAACTTTACAGTTATTTACTGTGGAGCTAAGACTGGCTTACATAACTATAATCTATATGTATAAAATTATACATGAACTGACTCCAACATACATGGGTTGGTTTATCATAACTGTAAACGAAATCCACACATACAATACTAGAGGCCAGAATCATTTACATGTAAACAGGCAAAATACCTTATCAAAAAAGTTTGTTTAAAGGATTCATTCAGTACAATAGTTTACCACAATATGTTTACATTTATGATAAGTTATATTTATTGTAAAATAGGTATGTTAATTATTTTAGTAGTAGTAATATACTGCAAAACCTTAAATGCGTTTTTCATGAAAACTTGTTTTGGTACATCACTATGTACCTTTTTTCGGTGAACACTACATGTTCCCACCTTATTTTGGTGGCTACCACAATAATGAAAAATTTGGAAGGAAAAAAAATATGTTTTTTGAAGTTAATTACTTTCTTTCTTCCTTTGGAAGTTTCGCACCATTTCTTGTATGAACATGAAGAAGTAGAAAGCCAAACACTTTTCTTTCTTCCCTAAAACTGTGTTTGCTAATGATACTGCAATAACAGTTTTAAGGCCTACAGTAGAAGATACATTAATTAGGTTTGAAAATACCAACTTTTTTCAGAACCACAGGAGGATATTAAAATAACTTTGGACTGTGCTCAGGCAGGATTTTTGGACGAGGAAACACTTGTTTTGTCACTCAAAGGAGGAGAGCTTTATGTTTTAACGCTACTAGCTGACAGTATGAGATATGTGAGAAATTTTCACTTTGAAAAAGCTGCAGCAAGTGTCCTCACTACTTGTGTAAGTAACCCATACAAATGATTTTCATGAAAATCACAGTTTCACTATTTGTCAATAATTTATTTGTTAATTTTGAAAAAAAAACAAAATTAGATGTATTATACATTACTGAAAGTTAATATTTATTTACTGGCTGTTTTTTCTCAGATATGCGTTTGCGAAAACAATTTTCTCTTCTTGGGCTCAAGATTGGGCAATTCCCTCTTGTTGAGGTTCACTGAAAAATCCAACGAGGTTATCACGTTGGACGATACTGACGAACCGATGTCCAAAAGACCAAGAACAGACAAAGAAAACCCCCAAATGTTAGATTCTCTAAACGACTGCATGGCTAGCGATGTGCAAGATATCAGAGATCCCGAAGAACTAGAGGTGTACGGTAATCAGAGACAGACGGACAGTATACAGATCACGAGTTATGTTTTCGAAGTGTGTGACAGCTTATTGAACATAGGCCCTTGCGGAAATGTTTCGATTGGGGAACCGGCATTTCTCAGCGAGGAATTTAATAATAACTTGGATTTGGATTTGGAACTGGTCACTACTGCGGGGTACGGCAAGAACGGCGCCCTTTGTGTCCTTCAGAAAACTGTTAGGCCGCAAATTGTTACCACCTTCACCTTGCCAGGATGCTCTAACATGTGGACGGTTAGGAGCGGGGAAGATCGACATGCCTTCTTGATTTTGAGCCAAGAAGACAACACAATGGTAAGTCACACAATTGAAAAGTGTGTATTCAAAACAATATTAAAACACAAGTCTGAACACTGTATCGAGGAGAGATACATATTATATAACAAAATTAATATTTCGAAACAAAATCGGAACTGTAAACAACAAATACAATCAAAAATTTAGGAATCACTCTCGGCCCAAAAATCATCTCATTCAAACCCTATGCTGCAAATGTTACTTCTAGAGCACTAAAAATGTTAGGTTTCACTTTTATACTCTGTCCATCTAAGCAAAAGAGTGCTCCAAAAGATTATCATGCATAGTGCACGTGATCTCCCAGACAAGGCTACTCGTACAGAGTCACACTGAGCAACCACCGATTTTTTTTTAAGTATGCGGCTGGGTATAGGAATTTTTTTCACTGCATGACATCCTGCTGCTAGTTTTTTACATAAGTAGTCAACAAGTGTACTTTCCCTATGTTACATCTAAACGTGACCACATTTGTTTTGTCAATGTTGAATGATAAAAGATTGCTCAATTGTTAGATCTATAATCGAATACAACTCCACAATTTGGTCGCCCTCAAAAAATAAGGATATTGATATGCTTGAATTTGAACTGGAATATCATATTGGTGAATATAACTATCAATCTATATTGAATATTCCTAACTTGAATACTCTGGCTTATAGAAGATTACAATCAGATCTTACACTGATTCATAAATTAATCAATGATAGCATTAATTTTCTGGGACTTGTTGAACTTATAATTTTAAATCTGTTTTATCATCCCAAACATGGTTTATCACATCCTTATGTTTTGGATTCTTCTATTCCTGATTCTTCTATCTGATACAAAAATTGTCAAGCATAGAGTACCTCTGGGATCCGTACATGGTCCCCTTTTATTTATTATCTATATAAATGATCTTCCTACACATATTGATACAGCAGATGTTTTTTTATATGCCGATGATACAACTTTTGTCATAAGTAACCAATAAGTGAGGAAGCTAATTCAGTTGTCATGTGAAACTCTGACAAAATGCGCAACATACTTTAACGCTAATGTTCTATGCTTGAACGCAAATAAAACTCAGGAAATAACTATTTCAAATAGATTCCGAATATCTGGTGGTGAAAAAGAGGTGTGTCTACTAGGATTCCACCTTGATAACAAATTTAATTGGAATGGACATATGACATACAACGTTATGTAAAAAGCTCTCAAGGTGTTGCTACGCATTGAGAGGACTAAGGAGTTTAGTTTCGAACGATGTGCTGAGAATTGCATATTTTGGCATGACTCGTTACCGCATAAACTATGGAATACTGATATGGGGTGCTTCCTCACATGCAAGTGAAGTATTCGTTATCCAAAAAAAGATAATGAGAGATTTAGAAATAGCTGATTCCAGAACCCATTCTAAACCAATCTGTATAAAATGGGTCATACTTACATTACCTTCCATGTATATTCTAGAAGCAATATTATTTGTACATAAAAATAAATATAATAGTGGATCCAGGATTCACAATCATGATACAAAACACAAAGACATCATCAGGCTACCGAAGATGCATTATCAAAGCACAGCCAAACAAACGGAGTTTCTTCCCATAGATAGATAGATAGATAGATAATATATTTGTCTCTTTAGGTTGTTCTTACAACATGAGATATGTCAAAAAAAAAGAAAAACAAACAAACAAGTACAAACACATTAACAATAGTCAGTTTCACATAAAAGTTAAAAACATATTGGATGGATACATATTAAAAACAGTACATATAATGCATACTACATAGATGAACATGAATCAGCCACACTTTTGAATAAAATCGTCTAAAGTATAAAATGCTCCTTGGATTAAGAACTTTTTCAGTGTATGTTCAAAAGTTTTTATTTTTGTTTCCGATTTCATGCTTTCAGGCAATAGGTCGAATAAATATGCCCCTGCATACAGAGGTGATTTTTTGTGATGTGATCTGAGTATGGGATGTAAGTGAAAGTTATTTTTCTTTCTCGTATCGTATTTGTGGTACTCACTGTATTTGTTTAGTTTTCCTTTATTTAAAAAGGTATACGTCAGTAATTTATACAAATAAATAGATGTGAATGTATAACACTTTGCCTAGTGAGTGGAAAGACCTTCATATAAAAGAATTGAAGTTCAAATTAAAAAATTCACTTGTCACCCAAGCTTTCTATAAGATTGATGAGATATTCAATTGTCAGTGGTCCTAATATATGTATGTGTGTACATATGTATATATGTGTATTTATGTTGTTAATGTCCATATGTGAGTCATAATGATTATATTGTTATATTTTTTCTTATGTAATGTATGTATATTTTTTTATATTTTCAGTATGACGTACCTAAGCAAATTTTGTTAATGTAAATATTTTCAAATGTAACAGAAATTGTAATTCGAGGTCAATAAAATTTCTTTTTCTCCATAATTTTTCCAGATCTTACAAACTGGACACGAAATTAACGAGATCGATAACACTGGTTTCGCAACACACGGACCAACCGTCTATGCAGGCAACCTGGGCAACACCAAATACATCGTTCAAGTTACTACTGTCGCTGTGAGATTGCTACAAGGAGCCAATCAATTACAGCACGTACCCATGGACCTGGGGTCTCCGATAGTGCACGTGTCCAGTGCGGACCCATATATATCTCTGATGACGACAGACGGACAGGTCATCACACTCATGTTGAGGGAAGCTCGTGGAACTGCCAAACTGGTCGTTAGTAAATCTACTTTGGCCAATGTGAGTGGATCCAAGATTTTTTTTTTTCACCATTTTTAAATGAAGTCATTTCTATTATTGTAGAATCCTCCCGTATCTACCATCTGCATGTACAAAGACACGTCCGGTTTATTCACTAGCAAAATTCCCGAAGAGTTCACTCAGATACCTCAGCATATAATCAGCGATTCGGAAATTAAATCGGAGATGGAAAACGAAGACGACTTGCTGTATGGTGATACGGATTTCAAAATGCCGTCACTGAATCCTCCTCCGCCGAAGCCCAAGGTGTATTACAACTGGTGGAAGAAATACATGACTCCGAATAGGCCGACGTATTGGTTGTTTGTCGTTCGTGACAATTCGAATTTGGAAATTTATTCCATTCCGGATTTCAAACTCTGCTTTTACGTTAATAACCTATGTTTTGGATATAAGGTAAGTGAACAATTAGAGTTCTATTGTTTTTTTACAATAATTTCGTCCTTTCTTCAGAAGTTTCCAATTTTTGATACATTAGTCTCAGAAGGCAAAAAATGTTTTCCCTAAATTTTGTCAATATTAGTTTTCTCTGTATAAGTATTTTTTGTAATTATTTCCTATTGTTTTTGATATATACCCTGTGCCAACGAAATCATTATACACAGTGCCATTCAATTATTTATTTATGAAGAACTTTGAAATTCGCAATAAAGGTATAGTTCATCAAAGCCGATATCTTTAAAAATAAAATGCATAAAAACCTATACAGGTTCTTTGTCGATCTCATAGATGGCGTTTCCGTAGGAGGAGATGTCATAGCCCTTCTTTATTTATTTATTTATACAAGTTATCCCCATTACATCCCCATTCTATCAAAGATTATATGATTACTTTGAATAATTCAGATTATTTTCTTCTAGTCAGAATGCTTATAGAAGAAATAAATCTTTTATGTTAATTTCTATAAATGAAAAACAAATGATTGTCCAAAACTATTAGAAAAAAATCAAAAGTAAAACGAGAGAAACTTTTAAACAAAACGATAATATTTAATGAAATTAGGTTGGAAAAAGAGAATATTCAATAATATTAAATCTGAAAAAGGTGGTTGGTTGGGTAACAGGATCAATTTTTTCTTAAAAAAACAATTGTATTCTTGCCGACGATTCGAATTTAATTCAATTCTTCTTCAGGGCTCGAAAATTAGTTTTTTTCGTGTTGATGATGAAAAACGAAAAATTTGTGGACAGAACACTCAAAAAATGGAGGCAAACCGCGGACACGTATTTCTGGCTATTGGCCTCATCAGCGCGGTGCAGATGATGCCTGGGAATGCTAGGTCTTCTAACTGAAACCACAAATGTGCGGTTAGCTCCTGTTGGTGACACCGTGTATATGTGAAGTTTTGCATTTTTGGTAACCAGTTGTTGTCCATCTTTGCAATTGGCTGCACCGCGCTGATGAGGCCAATAGCCAGAAACACGTGTCCGCGGTTTGCCTCCAT